TCTCTCTCTCTCTCTCTCTCTCTCTTTCTCTCTCTCTCTCTCTGTAGTCTCTAGTATCTCTCTCACTCTGCCTTTTTCTTTATCTCTATCTCTGTTTCTTACCTATTCCTTTTGTGTTTGTTACTCTCTTGCTACCCTATCTAATCTTCTGTTCTTGTATGACCTATTCGTGTTGCAAGCCTCTTAAAATTTTGACTAAAAACTACAAATTGATAGATGACTTGGGTGATGATTGTGGCGCATGCTACTGTTGACATATCCGTTTTGCTACTGATTTTGTTGTTGTTGTCGTTGTTGTTGCTCTAATTTTTTCTTGGTCCTTATTGTTGTGAGTTTTTGCTGTGTGATTGATGTGAACTATCCTAACAAATAAAAAAGGGAAAAGACAAAATATGTTGAACGTATACAGCAGCTAAAATATTTTGAGAACTGTCCTGACAACTTCTAAAACAAATGTTTGTTCTCGCATGCTCTCTTTTTTGTATTTCTATTTAACAACAGATTGTTAGATAATGCAGTGGGCTTTCTGCAAAGCAATCTCGAATGGCACTGTGAAACCACTTTGGGATTGCGTCACCCTTGTAAGAGAAATGAAATATAAAAAAGCAGACGACTGTACAATATCCTTTACTGACACCTCCAACCGAGTTCCAACAACACCCCTCTCAGCCTGTGAAGATGTAAAACGATGAGATAAAGAGGGCGGAGATATAATAGAGAAGATAATGGTAGTTGGGATGCAGTTTCTTTGACGTTGTTTTTTTTCTGAGTGGGAGGGGGATTAGATGGAGCATGAAAAGGGCGGATAAAAGGGCACGAAACTAAACTTAGAAACGACAAGCGCAAAATCAAAGTTAGGATCCTTATCTCGAAAGCAGCTTTCAGATTGCGCATTTGCATCAAACAGAAAAAGGATGTTTGATGATTAGAAAAAAATCGAGTATCACGCAAATTTGCAAAGAGCTTTCCCATCGTGCATCGGAGATTTCCACCAAACGCAAATTGAAGTATTGATGGGTCTGGGGTCCAGTGGCAATTGTGTTTTTGATGCTTGGCTCCCCAGAAGGAATAATTCATATCTGCAACAGTTGGTGGGTTTCTTTTTATGTTTGATTTGTTGTGTTTTTCGTTTGGGCTGTTTGGGGTTTCATATTTTGATTTTTGTTTTTGTTTTCTGTGTGTGTATGTATTTGTGTCTCTGTGTGTGTATGTGTATGAGTGTGTGAGTGTGTGTTTGTGTTGTGTGGGTGTTGTAAGTGTGTGTATTTGTTTGAGTGTGTGTGGAACTGGAAAAGAAGAGGTAGGAGTGGAATCAAAGACACGTTGCTCAGTAGACGCTGGTAGCTTGGTTGGGTGGGGGGGGGGGGGGGGGGGCGTTATTTCCATTATTATCATTTTCTTCTTATGCATTCCGATTGAAGTTTTGCATCAAGTCTTTCAAAATATCACAGAATATGTTCAGTGAGCTGTTCAAAGTTCAAACCTGCAATATTTCCTTCCTGTAAGAATTGTCGTTCTACTAATGAGGCGTTTCTCGTTATCTCCATTGTTAATACAAGACTGTGCAGATCACAAGAGATTGATGCGTTTTAATCAGCAACATTGGCCTGCAGCACTCTCTAGAACTTTATTTTGTATTTGGAAAAGTGATCTGTTGATGTTTTGCCATTATAACTTATGCAGTGAAAGGGTTGGAAAATATTTCTTGTAAGGTTTTCAAATACGTCAAATGAGTAGCTGATTAAGTTGTAGGCTACTAGTTGATGATAGTATTTGCACAAATTGACGAGTTGTGCATTTTAAACTGATGCATTTACCGTATAAAATATGTCCCGAAAAAAATGAAATAAGGAGGACTGATTTTACATAGATTTACCTTAAAACTTTCAGTTGTTTCAAGCTCTGCAGGCGTTTATGAAATTTGCATTACGTGTGCCTTCTATATCTTTTACAAAACTAACACTGATTCCTATATAACATAAATTAATTATCCTGCTTGTAGTATGTTCTAGAATTTCGTTAAAATAATACACGGGCAGTATTGCATACAGACGTACGTCAAAGGCCGCCAAAAATGACTTACGTCTGTATGAATTGTGTAAACAGAGTTTCTTTTCGATTTTCAATGTTGTTTATTGCCTTCCCATGGGCTAGTCTAAGTAATTTTACAAACAAGAAGAAACACAAAACATAACACTTATTTGCTTTAAAAAAGGGGGTGAAAGCGAAATTTCCAACTGTAAACATAATATTTAAAGTCCAAAGGAATTATTAATAGTCATAATTATGTTATGAATGGGAGGAAGGAATTATTTTCAACTAGGAAATGGATACTTGTGAAAAAGGTGATATGCCGGTACTCGCACTCTCGTCAGCACGAAGAAAAGAAAGTAACCAAGAAAGAAAGAACAATACTATCAAATGAGCAAACAATTAATCAAACAAACAACAGGCAACTACTCAAACATTGCTGCTGTGATTTTTTTCCCGTATCCTTACTTTCGTCATTTTTTCCTCTACCTTTTTTGTATGGTTGTCACTTTCTTTTGACCTGCTATTTCCGGGGTACCTTGATAGTCGAAGCAGACTTTGTGCTGTTGAGGCTAGAGAGGTGAGCAGAGTAAGCCTGATTCCCCGTGCGGACTTCACTGTTGATATTCACCCCTAGGCGCTCATAATATGACCTTATGCCGTTGCGAGAGCCCGAAAATCGTACTAAAAGTAAAGTAAAATTGTTAACTCGCATCCGAAGTGGACATTGGGGATTTCCTTGTTAGTGGGACAACTTCCTGGGCCTTTGGCATATTGTGCTAGGGTGGCCAGTTCCTTTCCACGCTGATTTTACTTCCCCAACTCAAAGTCAGGTAACCAGTACTGCAGGGTGGGCTGAAGGAAGCGAAAAAACTCCGTGTCCGAACCGAGGATCGAACCCGGACTTTCCGCTTCGAAGACGAGCGTTCTAACCACTCCGCCACCGCACCCTCAAAAACTCGCATCTCTCCCTTCTTTTTTTGTGTTTGTTACTCTCTTGTAACACCTCTAATCTTTGGCACTTATATGACATTATTATGTTGCAAGAGCTGCAAAACTCTTAACTAAAACTAAACTAAAAAACGTTTCACCTCTCCCTACAGGTTGCCCCAGGCTCACATGTGTACGACTGCTGGGCAAACTTTGACCCCGAGTGGACCCTGGCAGCTTACGTCACCTGGATGACGGTCTCCATCTTTATTGTGCCTACTTGTGTGTTGGGTTGTCTGTACGGACGCATCTCCCTGGAGGTGTGGCGGGCAGGCCGGCTCGAGGAGAGGATGGCGGGGAAGTAAGTTCTTTTTGTTTGTTTGTTTGTTTGTCTGTCTGTTTGTAAACTTATTGTGTCATGGTGAGGTGGAATCAGGCGCCCGTCAACTTTTGGGGACTGCGGACATAATATTGTTATCATCCTAAATTTGTAATTTTCTCTCTTTTTTTCTTTTTTCTTTCTTTATTTACTTATTTCGCTCCGACGTTGGGTCTTTAGGAAAGGCACTTCACACAAATGTCCCACTTGGCTCGGTCCTTTCGGAGATGGACGTTAAACTCGGAGATCCCGTCTCTTAAATAATCTATCAGTGTTGATAGGGGCTTAAACCTAGATCTATATCATTTCACTTTTGTTCCTTCAGGGACAGAGTAATCGGATATTTCGGAAGGAGAATTGAAAAAGCATTCGAATCTCTCTCAAATTTGATTTGCTGAGTGCTGAGAATCAGATTAGTTCTTCTTGCATTTAAATATTACTCGTGGAGGTTTCAAAATCAAACCCAAGAAAAGTTCAGTTCTAGTCCTCGCTGTATGTGAATCACAAATCAAAATGTAAGTCATCCAAAATATATAAATGTCGTCTCCAACATAACCATCACTTAGACAACAGGTGAGTAAAACTTATAATTAAAAAATCTCCGGTTTATAATATTAAGTTGGCAAACTTCCTCCCGCTTGATCATACTTTACAAAAGGTGCGTCAGAAAGCTGGAGAGATGACATAGTGAATTCTATGAAAAGATATGCCTTTAACGATGTGGCTTACGAGTGGAGCTCTTCCAGTAACAAGTAGGGCTCTGTGCGATGAAGGAGTAACTTAATATTATACCATTTGATGTTTTGCTTTTGTTTTGGTTTTTGTTGGGTTTTTTGGGGTTTGGTTTGTTTGGTTTTTTGTTTGTTTTTGTTGTTGTTTTTTGTGTGTGTTTTTTTGTTTGTTTGTTTGTTTGTTTGTTGTTGTTGTTGTTGTTTGTTTTTGTTTCGTTTTGTTTTTTGTTTTTTGATTTGAGGGGGTGGCTGGTGTGTTGAAAAACCCAAAGATGACACCGTTTTGGATTATTACGTTGGAATTGACATTATCTCAGTAGCCTAGTGTGGTCACTGTGATCAGGCTCACACACAATGTGAAGGAATGGCGCCAGTAACACGGCTGATGGATACAGCGGCTTGGTAGTTGAAGGGAGCTCTGGTGTGGTTTTCTCTTTCTTTCCTATCAAACATCTGTTGTCCTTATCTCCCTTCCTTCTTTTTTATGTTTATTACTATATTTGTAATACTTCTAATCTTCGCCACTTATATGACATTATTGTGTTGCAAGTACAACTCTTACTTACGAAGAAAAGGGATACAGTATCATACAGTGTTGTGTTCTTGAGCAAGACATGCTCTACCAAGGGCGCTATGTCGTGGCTACCTGCAACAGCATGCTACTATTTTAGCTGCATTTACTATGTCTCTACAGTTATGCTTGTTAAAGTAAAACAAATTTCTCTATTGTGGATGATCGAAAAACCGTCTTTCATTTTCATATTCAGTCATTTCTTGAGATTTTGAACGTTTCCCATGTCTAAAATAACAGACATAATAGTGGTTTAATTAAATTGTAGAATAATGAGTACTGCTTGCTTTAGCGCCATAAACATTGTCCGGCCTATGACATTAGTGACTCTCAAGATTTTTGTATTTCTGGGAAAAAAAGTAATTACTTTGTCGTCTTCATTCTTGTGAGTGGTTTGTTTGTTTACGCACCGACATAATATGAACCTTTTAAGGACCTTACGAACTGTCTGAAAAAGGAAAGGACAGACAATGTTATTGATCATCCATCATAGCGTGTGTATCCACGAAGCTGGAAACATCATTCACGCTAACTTGTAAGGGATATTTATGGCTACACCATGCTCTCCGTTTAAAGATTTGGCTTGGATCAAACTGACATAGTTTGAGCTACTTTAAAATATGTTGTTCTTGTAGTTGTCTAGATGGCTATTTTAAGTCCACGCCCGTCAGAAGATGGAGACCTAATCAATACTTTAGGTGGTTCCTTTCCTTCTCCGTTCCTTTGTTTTGTTACATTTCCCATAGATAGATAGATAGATAGATAGATAGATAGATAGATAGATAGATAGATAGATAGTCTGCCATTTGCGAACTGACTCGCAACAATAAATATCTAGACCTGTATCCGTTGAAACAAAAGACCTTAATTAATGAATCCTAAAACTGTTTGAATGGTCAGTCGCCTCAGAAAATGACATTAATGTGCCGGCATTGGGGAAAACAGGTGACAGAGAGAGGTGCTGCTTAAACACGATAGAATCGTCAGCAATATTAGTGTCACGACGGGGTGGACTCGGGCGCTCGTCAAATTTTTGGCATGTGGAGTTTATTGGTATTATCTAAAAGCTGTTTTATTTGCCTTGCTCGGATGAAATATCTTAAATAAAACTCAAGATATTTTCGATTGAAGGAAGTGAAATCGCCTGGTTTCAGTGGAGAAATTAGCGAGAAAAGGGCCGCCAAAGTTTGGTACCTCCACTAGCTAAAGAGTCCTTGAAAACAGAAATATCGCATTTTTGTGCCTTTAATCAATGTTTTTCAGTATAATTCACACGGAGTGTTTTTTTATATGGACATAAAAGAGGGTAAGCTATAAAAAAATAATTGGATAGCAATTTCAAAACTAGCGGAAAAAAGGCCTGTTTCTCCATTTTCATAATTTGACGAGCGCCTGATTTCACCATGCTGCCTCAATTAGATTGATTATCACCCGGATACAGATCATTGGTTTAGCCTGGGGTGAAGACTGTTTTGAAACTTGTTTGGCATTTATTGACATGAACATTTCAAGAAGCGCAATCAAGTGCCCAAATGCATATTTATGATATGGGCCGAGTAGTTTGTTTTAGATCATGGACGATCAAAGAGGGGATTGGGTGCACGGACCTAATGGGGCATGGTAGTGTGTCTGTCCGCCCGCATTCCCTTGGGTGGTAGCTAGAGGGGATTTTAGTTTTAATGAAGTTTCGCACTTTTGTGAAATGGAAGAGAAACAAATGTTATCCTAATGAGCAGGGAAAAAAAATAAGCTAAAAAAAAAGAGAGGAGGGGTGAGGAAAAAAAAACTAATCCATCTGTCCTTGAACTATTCCTTTTTAAGTACAGTTGTTAATTTGTAATTTTCTTTGTGTGTGGGAGGGGAGGTGGAAGGTGAGGAAGGGCGTACGTGTGTATGTGTGTGTGTGTGTGTGTGTGTGTGTTAGTGTGTATGTGTGTGTGTGTGTGTGTGTGTGTGTGTGTGTGTGTGTGTGTGTGAGTGCGTTTGTGTGGTGCAAAGTAGAATTATAATGCGGTGCAGGGTTCACGCCTTTATTTAGACTTGTAGGTCTTCTAAGAGGCAGGACTTCGGAATGCAAAGTCAATGCTCACTGGAACCAAGCCAAATAGGTGAAGAGCTTTGAAAACTTACTGTCCCAACCAACCACGTTTGAGTTTTAGTTTTAGTAAAGTTTTACGACCCTCGCAACACAATAAGGTTATATGAGTGCCAAGGGGTGGATGTCAACAGAGAAGTCCAAATGGGGAATCAGGCTTAATCTGCTCATCTCTCTAGCCTCAACAGCACAAAGTCTGCTTCGACTATCAAGGCATCCTGGAAATAGAAGTTCACAAGAGAGTGACAAACATACAAAAGAAGTAGAGGTAAAATAGCGACAGTAAGGATGAGATCAAAAAAAGCTGCAACTCCCCCTCCGCTGTTCCGGCACAGTATGAGCAAGACATTGATAAATCAGCTCATTCACATTTCTACTGTGCATAAGAACAGGTTAACATCTCCCCTTTGGAAATGGCTTAAAGGCAACTTCAGTCAGTAGCACTGCCCTGGTTTTTTTTTTTTTTGGGGGGGGGGGGTAGTGGAGGGGTGCATGTTTGAGCCGACCCCTCTGAAGAATCGAACTTCGGTCATCGACACCGTTGTCCTGCATATATCCAACTGAGCTATCGGCGCACCACTGTCGATCTTAACCAACAGAGTAGTGTTCATTCAACTTCATGCCCCGAAAACCTAACAGCTGTTCCTTCATGTTCCATAACTTTGTAACCTGTCCACAATAATTAACTACTGCCACTAACATTGACTGTGTATGTACAGAGAACCACTTATTGAAACCTAAACCTTTAATTTGCCTTAAGGGAGATATGGGTTAATCTTGGGATTTTTTCCTTAAAGCTGTTGACCCTTTTCAAGACCAGCAATACTTCTACGGCGTTAAATATACGTGTTTATTGATGTTGTGTTGGAAGCTGAGAAGTCAATAGCGTTGGCAAGGAAACCTACCACTTGGCGTTTTCATGTTACTTGGGTCAGTTGTCACAGTTCAAATTCAATCCATTTAAGAGTACCCAATTACAATAAATAGCACAAAAAATATCTATCAGAAGATAATACATATAACGTGGGAGCACTGTCAAGTAACGAAAAGATGAATAAAGAGGGGGTGCCTTTTTATCTCGCTTTAGTTTGATGCTGACTGCAGCGGAACGTTGTTTTGTGTGTTTGTGTTTGTGTTTGTGTGTGTGTGTGTGTGTGTGTGTGTGTGTGTGTGTGTATGTATGTATGTGTGTGTATGTATGTGTGTATGTGTGTGTGAGTGTGTGTGTATGTGTGTATGTGTGTGTGTTGTGTATGTGTGTGTGTGTGTGTGTGTGTGTGTTGTGTGTGTGTGTGTGTGTGTGTGTGTGTGTGTGTGTGTGTGTGTTTTAATGACAGGTGAACTAGATTTATTGGGAATGGGAAAATTGGTCTCGTAAAACATAGTCTGTTAGTTACACATTGACCCTATTCGCTTTAGCAGTTTCAACGTGTAAGTTTGGTATGGTCAGTAGCAAAATGTAGACGTACAAAACTAAATTACCGGGTGGGGCTATTTCGATAATGCAGTTACATCAATCATTATTTCAAGACATTGTCAGTAACACTCGGACACGGCTTCAATCTGTAATCATATCTCTGCATCACAGCACTTGTGTTATTTGCTACGAAATTTGGTATTATAATCCAAAACAGATAAACAGATTATGGTCTGAAAGACAACCGAGATTAATGTAAAGGTTATGTTAATATTGAAACCCAGAGCTTTTAGGAACAAAACGTACAAAGCATTTCACAACTCAATAATGAAGTGTAGCAATTGACATTTCTAGAAATTTGCAGTTTTGGGGAAGGGGTCGGGTGTGTTTTCATGTATGAGTGTTTAGAGGTTTCAAGGGAAGGGGGGGGGGGGTAAATGGAAAAAGACAAATGTTCTTTTGCCCACATGAAAGTGGGAAAGACATAAATTTTTCAGCTTCTGTGTCTTCAGCTTTGTAAAGGGTAATGAACAAGGGGTTTATGTTCCTATTCGCCTATAAGCAAAGCCAATCTCCTTATTAGACAAATCAATGGATCGAAAATATGATAGATTGACAGACACAAGGTGTTGGGGGAAAATAGGAAAAGAAAAGTGAGGGTGTGGGGCGAGACTCTTTAACTATGAAATACTATTACTAATCGTGTCTCTACATTTAAGGGTTTTTGTTTTGTAGTATTATATTTTTTAATACAGCATTGTATTAAAAGAGCCATGGTTTGCTAAAACATGTCTGAATTTGATCAAATATACCATACCCAAATAAGAACTCCGAGAAAAAAATGCTTTTCTCGAAACTGATTAAAAATTTTGAATTGTGATATTCTTCTCTTGAATAATATGTAAAAGATCCAAAGACGGATTAACAATACTTTTGGAGATGAGAGCTTTTTTATTAGGGATAATAATATTATTTTGGAATGACGAATAGCTGTCAGTAAACTATAGACTTGCAAATGTTCTTCCGAATCAGCACTTTGAATAACATTACATCATGATAATAAACTTCAGGTTACCCCCCCCCCCCAAAAAAATCCTGCCTGTCCTTTTTAAAACTAAACCAAGAGCCCTGACTTTTTTTTTAAATGGAATTGTAGAAGTTTCTAACGCCTCCATTCACACTTTTAAAATCATTTAGGAAGTGGGCTTCTTTGACCCGATCACTCTATCTGTTGTAGCAAACACTTACATTGCTTCGTAGTAAAATATAAGTGTTTCGTTTCTGCTTTTGCCATATTTCTTGTCAGTGTTGTTGTTGTTGTTGTTGTTGTTGTTGTTGTTGTCAGACCCGATTATGAATAGCAGTTCGTATAGACATGTGGTGAACAAACAAAAAAAGAAAAACAAACAAAACAAAACAAAAACACCTCCAATGGGTCTTCACCTATACGTTCTTATACTGACCGTCTAGGTCTTCAGTGTTCCCAACATTCTGCTTTGTTCTTCAGGAAAATCTCATCCCGATATGAGCCCAACGCTGGAGAACAAAGGAGATCAGTTGTGATTCAAAACAACGCCCAAGACCCCCGATCAGGTGGGATCGGACATGCGAGTACTCGGGGTAGTGCTGTAGTACACGCGGCCCTGGTGCCACAGGTAAGTCATCCTTAATAGAGAAAGTGTATCTGTATTATGTTGCTGTGTGTACGATGCTGTTATTGTTTTCCTGTTTTCTTGAGGGTTTTTTCCTTTTTTGTCTTTTGTTTTTTGTTTGGGGGGG